GGGTTTTTTTTTGGGGGTTTTTTTCGGATTTTTTTCCCCCATCCCGGCGAGGGTTAAGTGGCTGTGTGGGGCTGAAAGTCGGGGATGAGGCATTAACTCACAGAATTCAGGTCTTCCTCTTCTTTCTTTTTTTTTTGGGTTTTTTTTCCCCCATCCCGGCGAGGCTTAAGTGGTTTTGCGGGGTTGAGAGTCGGGGATGGGGAATTATCCCTGTGCCGAGGGGAAGGGAACCTGTGCTGGTGGTTGAGAAAGGAGGGAAACAGGTGGGAAAGGGGGGTTAGAGAGGAACAAAACCGGGCAGACACAGAGTTCTGGAATTCTGGTTGGAAGGGACCACAAAGCTCAGCTATCCCCACCTTCCAGGTTGCTCCAAACCCCATCCCAGGGGAAGCACAACTTCCCAGGAACCAGCTTTGGGATTTTGGGGTCACAAAAGTCCTGTTGGCTCATCTGACAGTCTCAAGGTGGGAACTTTCACCCACCAGGACGTTCCGGGCCCGACATCTCCAGGTTTTTTCCAGCAACATCCCCTCTGGATTCACACCCACTCTGTGTGTGGGAATCAAATTTGGCTGCTCAGATCTGCAACTCCATAAAATTTGGGCCCTAGATCTGATTTGATACCTTTGGGATTTACCAGTTATTATATCCTGTGGGGTTTTTTTTTTCCTTAAAATATTCTTTGTCTTCTTCCCTGTTTTATTCCCCCTTTTCCCTCAGCCAGAGGCTTTTGGATTAAACACAGCAAAGAGCGACTGAAATATGTGGGTTTTTTGGCTGCTGAGCCTCCAACGTGTCCGAGGAGCTGCAGGTGCTTGGAAAACATGAGGATGCAGGTGCAGCATCACCCGCTGGAGCTGGTGGGAATTAGGGGCCACCACGGTGGGTTTTGCAGCTCCAAACATCCCACTCTGGTGCTGGGAGCACAACCTGGGCCTGGATGGGGATGGTGAGAGCGGGAAGGGAAGAGGGAGAGTGGAGGAGACCGGAGGGACTGTCCTCCAGTGCTTGATTCTTCTCAGGAGGTGGCTCCTTCCACCTGGAGTTCCCACCCCCAAACCCTCCCCAGGGTGGTGGCCTTCATCTTTCTGAGGGACCTTCATCCTTCTGAGGGACCTTCACCCCTCTGAGGGACCTTCACCCCTCTGAGGGACCTTCACCTTTCTGAAGGACCTTCACCTTCCTGAGGGACCTTCACCTTTCTGAGGGACCTTCACCCCTCTGAGAGACCTTCATCTTTCTGAGGGACCTTCACCTTCCTGAGGGACCTTCACCTTTCTGACCTTCACCCCTCTGAGGGACCTTCATCTTTCTGAGGCACCTTCATCTTTCTGAGGGACCTTCACCTTTCTGAGGGACCTTCATCCTTCTGAGGGACCTTCACCTTTCTGACCTTCATCTTTGTGAGGGACCTTCACCTTGCTGAGGGATCTTCACCTTTCTAATGGACCTTCATCCTTCTGAGGGACCTTCACTTTTCCGAGGCACCTTCACTTTTCTGAGGGACCTTCACCTTTCTGAGGCACCTTCACCCCTCTGAGGGACCTTCACCTTTCTGAGGGACCTTCACCTTCCTTAGGGACCTTCACCTTTCTGAGGGACCTTCATCTTTCTGAGGGATCTTCACCCCTCTGAGGCGCCTTCACCTTCTTGAGGGACCTTCACCTTTCCGAGGGACCTTCACTTTTCTGAGGCACCTTCATTTTTCTGAGGCACCTTCACCTTTTTGAGAGACCTTCACCTTCTTGAGGCACCTTCACCCTTCTGAGGCACCTTCACCTTTCTGAGGCACCTTCATTTTTCTGAGGCACCTTCCCCTTTCCGAGGGCCCTTGTCTTCAGGGTTCAGCCCCAGGAGAAGGACAGTGATGCTCTTCCTGCCTGTCCCTTCCAACACCGTGGCTTTGGGTTCTGCCTCTGTCCAGGGGAAGGAAAACCTCCAGCAGCCAGGAGAATCCTCCCGGGAGCCTTCCAAAGGGATGGACTCCACCTCTTCCCCTAAAGCTGCCCTGCTTTGTGCAGAGAGCACAGGAACCCTCCCGAGAGCAGAGCTCTGGGCTTGGGAATCACAGTCAGCCTGTCCTGGCTGTTTCCAGCCAGGATAATCCACTTTAATGCCAATGGGAACAGTGGCAGTGGAGAAGAGGGAGCAGAGCTCTGGGTTTGGGAATCACAATCAACCTGTCCTGGCTGTTTCCAGCTGGGATAATCCCCTGATTATCCTTTGATGCCAATGAGAACAGTGGCAGTGGAGAAGAGGGAGCAGAACTCTGGGTTTGGGAATCACAATCAACCTCTCCTGGCTGTTTCCAGCCAGGATAATCCACTGATTATCCTTTGATGCCAACGGGAACAGTGGCAGCAGAGAAGAGGGAGCGTGGAAGAACATCCTCTTCCCACCTCTAAAGGGCACATGATGCCAGTCCTGGAGAAGCCCCCACAGGGTTAAAAAAAACCAAAAACAAACACCCTGTTCTTGGGATTTTTCTGTTCTCAGAGAAAAGAACCTGATATCCTGAAACAGGAAAAAAAAAAGGGGGAAAATAAAGATCCCAGAGAAAGATCCCGAGGGGAAAGGCGGTGGTTGTGCCCAGGAGGGAGTTTGGCAACCAGGCAGGCAGAGCTGAGTGCCCAGGACGGGTCATTCCCACTCTCCAGGGCTGAGCTGGGTCTGTATGAGGAGCCACAAACTTTTCCCTACTTGGATATTTGGATTATTTGCACGTGAGTGAGGTGGAAGGACGGGGTTATTCGAAGGCCAGGGGGAGATAAGAGCCCCTGCCCTGCTCAACAAAGAGACATTTCCATATCTGAGGAAGTGAGGCAACCCTGGCTAATTAGGAGGACAGACCCAGAGCCTCCCAGGAGGGAGAGATTTAAAAAAATCTCAGTGTTCCAAAGGTGAAGAGACCAGGAAAGCTCAACCAGAGAACCCCAAGGGTGTCCTGTGGCAGCTCCAGCCCTGGGAGGGGTGGTGGGGGTGGATCTCAGGAGGTTCCTGGAGGTGTGGGAGGTGGATCCATCCCAAATCTCCATGGGAGACACCCGAGGGCAAAGGCAAACTGGGCATTTCTAAGAGTTTCATGAGACAGAGGAGGATTTTGTGCCTCCCGACTCTCCGAGGGAGTTTTTCCCTCTCCCAGTCGTTGGCTGGAAGGACCCTTGGGAAAGCTGAGGCAGGGGGTGGAACTGTCATCATTTGGCTGCTCAGATTTGGAACTCTATAAAATTTGATCTGATTTTATACCTTGGGGATTTACCAGTTGTTATATCCCATGGTTTTGTTTTTTTTCCCCCAAAACATTCTTTGTCTTCTTCCCTGTTTTATTCTCCCTTTTCACTCGGCCAGAGGCTTTTGGATTTAATACAGCAAAGAGTGACCAAAATATGTGGGTTTTTTAGATGCTGAGGGGCCTGGGTGCCCCTGGGGGGGTCTGGGTGCCCCTGCACAGCAATTCCCAGCACAGGGGAATTTCTGGGATTTGGAAAATCCTCGGGAAAGGGGGGGGGATGCTGTGGCCCCGCTCCGTGTCCATGTGGCAAAGACCCAGAACATTCCAACCACCTGGAACATCCCTGACCACGGAGCCCTTCCAGTTGGGATGCGCTGATGGACCAAGGGTGACCCCGATGCTCATTCCTCACGGGATATTCCCACTGGGATATTCCCCGTGGGATATTCCAGCCGCCCCCAGCAGCCCCGGGGAGGGGCAGGGGAGGGTTAAACCCACCCCTAATCCCTGTTTAGGGGTGGAGGAGGCATCACCCACCCCCACAGTGCCCCTCCAGCACCTCCCTGGAGGCCTCACCCTCCAGCAGAGCCACTCAAACCATCTCCCATCCCGAGTGTGAGCCCAAAAAAAGTCATTTTAAGTGATTTTTCCCCTTTTGAAGAGGCCGGTCCCCGGTGGGCGATTCCACGGCGAGGGCGTGAGGAGGATCCTGCCTGGCCCCAGTCCCAGTAAATCCCAGTTCAGAGGCAGCTCAGCTCCATTTTGGGATGATTATTAACCCCAGCCCTGCTCGTTTGTTTGGCCTGTCTGAGGGGCTAAATATAGTGATGGGCTCAGGGGGAGAATCGTGTGCAGCTGCTGAATGTGACCCCCCAAAAAAACCCCCAAAAATGGTTGAAAAAAACCACAAATCCAACAAAACAGGAAAGACCACGGCTGGGAAATGAGAAGAAATGAGAAGAAATGAGAAGCAGCTGCGAAGAGGAGGGAGGAGATGTCGGGACAGGGAGGGCCTGACTTCAAAACTCGCAGGAAAATGGGACAAGAAAAATGTTGGAAGCCCTGTCCCGGGGTGGCCCCTTGGCCGGGAGTGATGGGAGCATCTCCAGGGTGGATCCTGCAGGGAGATGGGCAGGAATGGCTGCAGGATGTTGGGAAGCCACCACACAACCTCCTGCCCTGCCTTTGGGACAGACCCAAATGTCCCCAACGGGCAGGTGCCGGACCCAGGGAGATCCGGGGCTGGGAATTTTGGGAATGGGAAGCTCGGAGCGGTGAAACACTCTGAACACACACAGATGTGGGAAGGGAAGGGAAGGTTTGGGAAGGGAAGGGAAGGTTTGGGAAGGGAAGGGAAGGGAGAGTGGAGGGATCTGGTGGAGTGGCTTTTATCTTCTTGAGGAAAGCATTCAAATTTTGCTTCATTAGTTCTTTATTGGTTGGGTATTTCTATTTTTCTGGTTTTTGGGGGATTGGGTTCTCTTTTCTTATACGTATATAGTGTTTTCATAACTGTAAATAATCGTAAATATATATATACATATATTGCTTTAATTCAGTTTATATCAGGTCCTTTGGGGTGTTTTTTTCCCCCTTTTTCCCATTCCTTTAATAAGGGGAAGGGGCTTTTTGGAGTGGGTTCATGGACTTGTCTTGGTCCAAACCGCGACACCTCCAACCCCTTTTCCTCCCCGGCTCCGACGTTAAACTCCAACAGCTGCACCTGAACCGCAGTTTAACGTGGGCACAGAGCTCAGGGAAGGGCAACGCTCACCCCCCGCCTCTGATCCCGGTGCCAGGGGCACCCTCTGCCCAGGTGAACCCTCGTGTTTACCTGCCAACCCCCCTCTCCCTGCAGGTGCTGCCCGGGGGGGGACGTTCCTGGGGTCACCCCCCTGCTTTGTGCTCGAGGTTTCCTGTTTGCCCCCGGAGGGAGTTTGGGGTGAGAAGGGCCCCGGGTGGGTTTGTTTTGATGCAGCACAGCGAGGGAGAGCGGGGTGGCATCGCTCGGGCTGTGGTTTTGGCAGCTGCTGGCACCGGGTTCCCTCCCCGCAGGCAGGTGCTGCTCCCGCGACCGCGAGGAAGAGGAGGAGGAGGAGGAGGAGGAGGAGGAGGAGGAGGAGGAGGAGGAGGAGGAGGAGGGGGGGGGGGGGGAGCTCAGCTCTCACATCAAGGTGCTCCCAACCGAAGTGCTGCCCGCCTGCTCGGCTTGTGACGGGTGGGCCCAGCCCTTCCTGAGCCCCAAAATCCGCTCTGGGGATGCACCTGGGGCTGCTGAACCGCCCGGCCCTGGGGCTGCTCCTCACCCTGGTTCTGCTCCTCCTCACCCCAGTTCTGCTCCTCACCCTGGTTCTTCTCCTCACCCTGGTTCTGCTCCTCACCCCAGTTCTGCTCCTCGCCCTGGTTCTGCTCCTCACCCCGGTTCTGCTCCTCACCCCAGTTCTGCTCCTCGCCCTGGTTCTGCTCCTCACCCCAGTTCTGCTCCTCACCCCAGTTCTGCTCCTCACCCCAGTTCTGCTCCTCACCCTGGTGCTGCTCCTCACCCTGGTTCTGCTCCTC